TACATTAACACACACAAATGTATAAATCAATATATATTATTAATAAATAAATTATTTAAAATTATTTAATATATATTATTAAATTAAATATTTGTATATACCGTTTTATATCATTTTGTAATTTTGAATAATTTTTATGTAAATCTCTATGTATATTATAATTTTTTAAATTTAGAAAATATATAAATACATTTGATTAACTTTTTTAATTAAAATAGGTGTTACTAATACAAAGATTTGGTGACATAAAATTGAAACATATTTAAATTTGTCACTAAATTTGCATAATTTGACAAAAGTGTGATGACATGTATTTTATATTTATCACTAATTTATGTAATTAGTAACAAATTTCAGCCTGTTACAAAATTTTTGTCACTAATGTCTATGATTCAATACACTAAATATGTATAATGAATTTTTATTTTTTTTAACAGTGAACTTAGAAGAAATAGAGAGTCTATAAGAGAAGGAAGAGATTGAGAGAGCGAGAGAGGAAATCTAGACTCGGCAGAACAAGGGCAAAAGAGGGTAGGAAGATAATAGAATAGAAAGAGGGGAAACAAAGCACAGAAAAAAGTCAAAAACAAAGAAAATCGAAATTGATGAAGGGTTGAAAAAAAAAATAAAAAATAAAAAATCCTGGTTAGGGAGTAGGGACTTTTGGGTTTGAGTTGAAAATTCCCGGAGGGGTGGTTGGCTATAATTGGAAGTCAATACGTGGCAACACAAAGCAAGTGCATGCACCGAACCGCAATGTTTGAGCCTGGTCTTCCTTTTTCGCTGAATCCTACGTTGCAGTCTTCCTTCCTTCTACACCACTCCTACCACACTCCCTGCGGGCCCCACCCTCAGTCTCGTCTCATCTTTGAATTCCATCACCCATATTTATATTCCCACGTGTGCATATTATCCGAAGCTGCATGGAACCTTCCCCACCCCCAGCCGCATTTCCAATTTTTACTTTGTTGAATGATCCCAAACAACGTCCTTCTTCTTCTTCTTCCTCTTTTTAACTTTATCTATCATAATTTAAGTTAAAAGATTCAGTTCCTTGAATTTGTCTCCATTATTAATATGATCTTTCAAATTTTACTTTTATTAATTTGATTTTTTGGATTTTCTTAAGTTATCATGCTGAGTTTTTAAGTTTTACAATACAAGTGGGTAAGTTTCAAAGGATGCAAAATGCTGCTATGTTTGCCTGGAATAGTACGTTAGTTCGTTGGTGGAAGCAAACCTTTAATTAAAATTAATTTCTGTCTTCTCATTCACCACGAATATGTGAAAATCATAATTTGGACTGGATTGTTAATTATTGTTCTTCGTCTCTATGATTCTAATTAAAATCTCTGCGCCAAGGTTAGAAAAGGAAGCTGGAAATCCCATGCTATAAACAATTATATATTAAATATATGAAAACTTGAAAAGAAACTAATATTCGAATGACTTCAAAATGTCTTTAAACAGGATGATGATGAAATTGACACTACTGAAATTAGCCAAAGGACCACTTTCAAAAACTCGTGCATTACATGGAGTTTAAAAAAGTGATCCATAGCATTAGCGAGTCACGAATAAGAAAAAGAGTAGTATAACCTTGGGTGTGACCAACAAAAAGTTGATCCAATCTGTAAAGAATTTGTCTCATAACTCATAAAATTATGACTCCAAATCTTTTCAACCAATGTGAGAGAACTTTAAAAGGATTTTCTTAAATTATTATGCTAATTCTTTAAGTTTTAAAATACAAATATAATGTTAAATTAATATAATGTGTAAATTATATTGATAACTTGACACACACACACACACATATGTAATTAAATAAGAAAAAATTAACTTTTAAACCATTTTAATTTTTATCAATCTAGTTTTGACACTACATTTTGCTCTCTCTCTCGTTAAATTCTCAGTCTATTTTTTCATAAATAAAAATTATACTTTTTTAATTGACATGATTGTCATGAATATTTTATTATTTATTTGAGATTTAACAGAGTTATCTCTTCTTTAGACAATAAAAATTAAATTGATAAAAAAAAATCTCTCTAAAATAGATATAGGGCATCTTCTAAAAGCTTTACTTTATTCAAAATATAACGTATTGAGTAATTTTTATAATAAATTTTTTAATTATACTCCTAATTTATTTATTATTACTCTTTTTTAAAAAGTAATGCATTAAAATTTTAATTGTCATTATCAAAGTGCTTATATAGGATATTTAATGAGAATATAATTGAAAATATGTAAATTTTTGAAGAAGTTTATAATTTAACTAATATTTTTTAAGAGCTATGAATTAATTAATTATCAATGCCCGATATAGTGATCGGTGAGCAGTCTTGAATGTTGATAACTTAGAGAAAAAGAAGGTTTTATTATCGCTTAAACTAATATTGATAATTAAATAATACACCCAATTGTTGAATGGGACTTTGAGGAAGGCTGACCGAACCTTGGACTTTCGGAATGTCCAGTTACGTGCCGTAAATCCCTCCATGCTTGGATTCAAACAAGTTGAAATTCAGAAATTATACCTTAAAATTACGCCACTCTGGTTAGTAGGCTGTTAAATAATAGTAAAAAAAATTATATTAAAATCCCACGTTAAAAAAATTAATTATTATAAAATTTATTAATAATTGAACTAAAGTCCTTTAGGCAAAAGAAATAATTAAAAGTATTCACAATTGACTGTATTATTAATAAATTTTATAATAATTAAATTTTTTGTGTAAGAATTATTTTTAATTCTCTCACAATAGCATTGCCCCATACTATATTAATATTGTCGGGAGGGCCCTTGATTAAACCCCAGGAAAGGGGGAATTTCGTGCGTTTCATTTGTCAAACATCAATTACTCATTCAACGCTTGCAGTTACTTTATGCTTCGCGTTACTGGTCAAATCAATCATCTTATCTAATTGCTGGCTAAACTCTTTCATGAGTCCAAAAGCTTTGATAAAAAAGTCGGATTAGTTTACAATTACAGCGAGTGACGTCTTCATATTTATCAATCAATTTCCAATGAATGCTGGTCAAAAAATTAATTTCCAATGAATGCTAGTCCTGGATTTGTACATCAAACCTCGTATTTCCCTCAATAAACCACTTGCCAAAAAAGTCGTTTACTTATTACTCAAGAATTTTTTGTAATGCATATTTTGGGGGTTGAGGGGATGAAAGATTCTTAATTTATTTGTTCAAGAATTAGACCTTAACACGGTTCAAATGTATGTCACTGCACGTGCTTAACTAATTATTATTGTTATTATTATTTTATCAATGATCGTGAAGAATGTGAAAAGGACGCAATGATGTATGCACGATGCTTATTTTTTTAACGAACATTTCCCATGCACGATGATATTGTCAAATGTAAATTACACTTGTAATTTGAAGCAGGCTTTTTGAATCGCAAGGTTTGAATTTGAATGTCCTGTGGAGGAAAATGAAACAACTGAGTGAGGACCGAAGTATCTTGATTTTATTTCGTCTGAACGCAGGTGTGTAAAGACTGAAGAATGAATAAATAATATGTTAGGTGGGATTATTGACTACTTCTCTAGGGTAAAATATATACAAGATGGCTGCAAACTTGGTTTTTTCCCCAAGCTTGGAAGTTTCACATTTGTCGGGGTCGTGGTCCTTAAATCACATACCTGCTATTATCTCCTGTCGCTTTATACTTTTCGACGTCGATGTAATATTGTTATTGAACATTTGAACTATCAAAATGTTTTTTGGTTGGTCTCGCCACCTCTTAAAGCAGAGGCAGGTGGAGAGGTTCAAATTAAACTTCAAAGGTACCAGATCGGACTTCTGTTTGATAATTTAATTTAGAAAAAATATAATTTGAGATCTCTGCACTTTGTTATTGATTTCTACACTTTTTTTAAATGTTTTATCTTTACAATTTTATTTTTCAATATTTTTTATATTTTTCCTTTTATTTAATATAAACATCTGACATTTTTAGGTCGCCCGCAATTTTTTCCCTCGATGGAAGTGATGCTACTGGTTATTAATTAGAGTGAAGAGTCAAAAGTTCAATTGTTAATTTAGATTCTTAAATATATTTTTTTAAAAAAAAATTAAGAAATGGTTGCAAAGTATTCCTCCATTTAAAAATATAAAATATTTTTAATCAAATCTTATCCTCTAATAAAGTTATTTTCTACTTTTAAACTAACCTTATTTTTTTATATTTATCCTTATTAAACACCCTATAATAAATATAAAGTTACTATCAATATGAGTACTTTTGAAATAAAAGATAATGATTACACTTCAAAAGACTAAAAATAACTTACATTTTTTAATATCTAATTTTTTAAAAAATATTATATATATTTTAACAGAAGGAATATAAATTTTCATTTCTCTTTTTTCCACCAAGCGTTCATGTATTACAGCGGAAGATGAGTGACATTTGTAAAGGGAACCTTTAGTTTTTAAAAATAATCAAATTATGTTTTCGGCATGCATGTGGGTATTAATTATGATTCATAGCAATTTTTTCTAGTACCTTGATCTTGAATTGAATTTGGGACCTTACATAATGTTAGCAGTATTTTGTTGTGAATAATGATAATGTTATTTTGCTTCCCATGAAAGTAATTATTTCATGGTTTTTCACAGGTTTGTTTGTTGGTTTTGGTTCTCAACTAAATAGATTTCAGTTTACATTAAAAAAAAAATGAAAGTAATTATTTCATGAGCATCGTGGACCGGTAAGACGCCGACATAACTGCCTCGGATTAATAATAATTACGCCGCCTGTACCAGTCCCTCTCACACGTGAGGTTCATTAAGAAGCTTCCTACACAGCCTCCCAGCCCCTCCAAAAATCCTATTTCATAATTTTCAATTCATGTATCAACGCTAAATTGGGAAATTCAAAATTCAAATCACTTTCTGAAAACGTCCAAAATAACATTCAAAGACAAAATATCAAACGAAGACGGTTCCCCTGTATATATCCACTCATATCCCAACCCCATCGATCGCTAGCTTGCTCGCTTCCTAAATTCCATCAGCTTCAATCTCTATATCTTCCCACCAACCCAATCCAATGCAAACCCACGACACCATGTCCGGACCCACCGGCTACTACTCCGATTTAGTCTATCTGGAATCCATTCGCCGTCACTTGCTCGGTGAATCCGACGCTGCTCCGGTTGCTAAATCCAGTAACACCCCTGCTCGCGAACATTGGGGTGAATTGCCTCTCAGAGAGGACGACCCCGAAGACATGCTGCTTTATAGTGTACTCCGGGGCGCATTCCAAGTCGGATGGCCCCCATCGGTCCACGCTGGCTCACCGGAAACCGTCTGCTCCACTTTTCCATACGCCATTGCTGTGAAACCGGAACCGGATGTAGTACAGGTGGCGGGGGCGGCCCCGCGAGAGAAGGTGAAGGAGAAGGCGAGGCATTACCGAGGGGTGCGTCAGCGGCCGTGGGGGAAGTTCGCGGCGGAGATCCGAGACCCGGCTAAGAATGGAGCTCGGGTGTGGCTGGGGACATTCGAGACGGCGGAAGATGCGGCTATGGCATACGACCGAGCCGCTTACAAAATGCGGGGCTCGCGGGCTCTTCTTAATTTTCCACTCCGGGTGAACTCTGGTGAACCGGAGCCTGTTAGAGTGAGGGCGAAGCGGTCTTCTTCGTCGGAGACCGGGAAGGGAAAGGCGAAGGTGGCGAGAAGGGAGGTTGGAAGTGACGTGGCATCTCGTGCAAGTAGTGGACAACATCTATCGGTCGGCTGAAAATATGCTAAATGCCGTTCTGATGTGTCCTGTAAATTATGTGATGAGATGCTATGGAATACTAGGATTTCTGCATCATGCAGTTAGCCTGAGAGATCAAATTAATAAAGATGTGGCTGTATTCAATTCAATACATTTCAATAATAACTATTCCTTTTCTAGCGTTTGGGGCAGATGGGAGCCACATAATAATCTGATAATGCTTCATAGACATGAGTGCGACTGTATGATTTTCTTTCAATTTTATTCCCTTGCTCGTATCATCATTTCACCGATGCTTGCGCGTCAGATGCTCAAAATGTTTCACTCTTCATTTGAGATATATACCCTTCTTGATAACGAAATTAATGTTAGTGTGTGCGAGGGTGCGGCTTTTTTTTTAAAAAAAAAAAAACGCTGACATAACTATAATAACGGTTGTTGGACCGGTAATCACATTGTACTTCAGGTTCTTTATAGTTTTTTGTTTGGATCCCATTTTTAAAAACGGGGGAACAATCAGGTGGTAACGTACAATATAAGATAAAATATAAAATATTGATTACTAATTTATAATTCTAAAAAAATATTAGTTGAAATTCTAATTTTTTAATTATACTCTCATTAAACAGGAGTATAGTTGAAAAAAAATTATAAAAAATACACTGTATCTTATATCTTGGATCAAGTAAAATTTTTAATAAATGTGTTATGTTGTGGTTTGAATGGAGTTTGTCCTAATCTGAGGCATTTGTTTTCACACAACATATATGTTGACCTGAATAAGAATAAGAGAATAATAAGTTGCTGTGAAGGCTAAGCAGTTAAGAGCGAGGCTAGCAATTATCACTGTCAATTGATCAATTTACAATTTCCAGTAGCTTTTAAGCTCGGAATTATTTTCAAAGCTTTGACCTTGACTTTTCACCGTTTACTTTTATTCAAGTTCAAAGGATCCTTAAAAAAAACAAGATCGAACAACGAGGGTAAACTCAATAAATGGAAGACCAAACAAGATCCCGTGGGGCTTCATCCAACGATCATGATATTCTTCATCTGTAAAGTCCCCACGAATGAGAGTATATTTATTTCAGAGTTCAAAAAAGAAAAAAAGAAAAAGCCCCACGACAACGCGCAATCCACGGCAACATAACCTTAACGTGAGGCGGTGCAAATTAATGATTGGCAAAGTTAGCGAAGCTTTCAAATGACGTAAACTTTTGCAAGGATTGTGTCATCAATACTCTCCGACTTCCTGTCCTACACCCCACTATAAGCATGGAGAAAATTATATCAACACATCTAATGAGTCCATCGGTTTACTTGAATTTCTCTGGACCCAATTCTATTTATTGTAAACAACTTATATCAGTTGATTTTTTTTCCTCAGTTGATAAATAAATTTTTGTGCATGTTTGGGATTGTAGGTCTTGTAACTTAACAACCCATGTGCTTCGAATTAAGAGCTGAAGTATTTATCGGATGAGATTAGGGCCAGACAATTTGAGCAATCTAAAACAACAAAAAATATTCTAGTTGATAAAGATCCACACCATAACCTACAAAGTTATAGTTTTAAATTTCATTATTAATGTAAAGATCTTATTAGTAGACAATCTATAAATACATATGTAAGCACATCTATAAGCCCAAAGATATATTCTAGTTTTAAAAAATTTTGAAAGTCAACTCACCTAAATTTTTTTTTTACTTAAAAGAAATTTAAGCAGTCTACACCTCTATGGTTTCTTAGATTCAAATAAAATGTTTTCTTCGAAGTTTCAAAACTAATAACACATGATGAAGGTGGGAAAAAAGCCTGATAACTGTAGGCTAGTCAAGAGCATGAGTATAGAGATATAGATATATTATATATATATATATATTATTAAAATCAAATAGGATCAACCAGTTCAATTTGTTGAATTGAGAATTGATCCTAAATCTGGTTAGGTCACCATAAAAATTAAAAAATTTGAGAATCAGTCAAGAAATGGTCGAACCAGCCTCAAACTGATAGAACTGGCGAGGAACTGGTTGAAATGAACATTTTATTTTTTATTTTTTATTTTTATTTTTGTTTTTTATTCATATTTCCAAATTATAATTTATATGTGTTTTTTTACCAACAATTTATATGTGTTTATACCTAATAAACATTTTGAAATGAAAAAAATGTAAGAAATATGTATAAATCATGCATATATGTATATATTTTAAAGTTATAAATTATAAATTATGAAATAATTATATATATTTTGGATGAAAATATTGTAATATTGATGGACAATATCTTTTTTTATTGTATATATTTTTTAAAATTTAAACACTCATTTTTTGTTATTATATATGATTTTTTTTGTACTTTAAATATATAATATTTAAAATATATCAATTTATTCATGATTAGTTGAACCATGATTTAAATCATGGTCTAATCATTGTACCACGAACTAGTATCTCTCGATCAGTTTAATGGTCAGTTCAGTTTTCATAACATTGTAATTATAAGTTAAATTGCTCATAATAACCTATTGATTAAGATATCTGATAAAAAAGATCAAGTTTTAAAAATTTGTAAATATTCATTATGGAGTTGCAATCTAGTCGGATAAATGCATAACACAAATTTTCAAAATCTCTTGAAACTTGTGTTTGGGCTAAAACTAAACTAACACTGATTTAAAAGGACACAACAACCATAGCAAGAGCTGAGCTGAGTGAATGAAACGTCAAGCCTAGTAAAAAGTCCAATAATGACAAGGCTGGTCCATATCATGGTAAAATTACTTGACCAAGTCAACATAGGTCTTGGAATCCCTCAATACTCAAAAACTCCTAGTTAGACCATTGCCTTATACGAAACCATGATATCAACAAGCCTCTAATCTCGCAAGTAGAGGTGTATATGGATGGGTATGTGCCACTCGTGGCCTTACCCTTTACCTGCTTTGTGTTTGTCTAAATAAGTGGCCACCCACCCATATCCACATATACCTATTGCACCCATTCTAAAACAGATGCAAATGGTATGGGCAGGTTTGGGTCACCTGTTTAATAAAAACACCAATTTTCTTTAAAAAAAAATCAACAAAAAGCCCTAGCAAATGAACAACGCAAGAAGATGTGGGAAAGAGTCCCTAGATCAAAATAACAAAAAGGACAAATTTCAACAAAATTGAAATTGAAGCATTTTAAAACTGTTCAAGTGGGTAATTGTTCTCAACCAATTTTCCAAATGAAAACTTAGATTCTAGGAGGCAGTTTGCAATCCCAAATACTTAACCATGGAAAATTGCCAAGAACGTGAGGAGGATTCAGTAAATTAAGAGATAAAGACTATCCTTTACAGAATAATTACCAAGTGAGTTTACATTCAAAACCAACACATCATTCTGAATTTTTGATTATGCAAAGAAATGGGGAAAGATAGAATATTAGTAGCCACAATTGGTAGGTAACCAAAGTGAATCAAAGCATTACATCCATAAATCTATGAGAGCATTTCGAGCAGGTTATCGTGATACTGATAAGGAAGTAGGCCATCAGAGTTTACATTACTTAAAAGAAATGAAAATAGGTTCGGTTCAATCCAAAACATTACATCCATAAATCTATGAGAGCATTTTGAGCAAAAAGAACATATAAAGAGTGAATCAGAACATATAATTAGATCAAAAAGAACATATTTGATAAGGATAATAAGAACATATAACCAGCAGCTTAAGTGAATCAGAGTTTGCATTCAGATTTAAGCAGAAGCATAAATGTACAAATATAACCAAAGTACCGAACCAACAGCTAGCAGCAGTCAAGGAGAGGACGATAACAATGTGACTTACTCGATGTTGGCGAGACAGCGAGGGAGTGACAACAAGTAGATGAGATAGGATGAGAGGAAGAACAGCGAAGGTGAAGGCGAAGCTTGCATAAAGGCAAACGCCGAATACTGAAGCTGAAGCTAAAATATCTTGCAGTCTCACTCGACTTAGGCTGTCAGGCGAACAGAAGAGGGGAGACGGCCGAAGGAGGCAGAGGCGACTGGCTCTGGTTGGCGAAGGCGAACCCCGAACGAACGAGAAGCAGAGTAGAGGAGAGGTAGCTTGGTTAGCTGCTTAGTTAAGGCACAGCCACGGGTTAATATCACTTTAAGAACCTTGGCCTTTGCTTTTTTAAGTTTTTGAATTTTTTTTTTCAAACATCACCCTAGGCCCAGTTGAAAGGAACAAAGCCAAATAGAGAAAATTAAATAATTTTATTCAAAATAATAATAATAATTATATACAATGGGTACAAGCTACCTGTGACCTTACCTATCACCCACCTATTTTTTAACTTGCGGGTATATACCCGTCTATACCCATTTTTTTTTTAGAGAATAAGTATGGGTTAACCTGTTTTAGTACGGGTCAAGTGGGTACGTAGTTCATAAGTAAATTACACATTTCTATTCACAGATTGTGACCTTCACTTGCAAAAATTTTGAAATGTGGGTTAATAGTTAAAAACAACTAACGATAGCCGACACACACTAGCCCTTACTATAAATATCAGAACAATTACAAAGAAAATACATCACAAAAAAATTCACACAACACCTCAATACTCTCAAGAGTTCTTTTATTTATTAACATTTAGCCTTAGTTTATATTCCAATTTAGTGTACTTTTTTTCAGTTTACCTATTGTAATTCGTCCTTACAAACATTACTTTAATCAAAATTATTTCATTTTATCTCAAATCACATCTCTATATCTGGATAAATTAAAGTAAGGGAGTCCAAAACTTCATTTATTTGAGATTTAATGTTTCTAGCATGCTTAATATATTTTGTTGTTTGCAGAGAATAACTTGATTGTAAGGTCTATAATTTGCAATAAACTTCAAAAGCTGGTGTTTCTCCCTAATTTATTTTTTGTTCATGATCCTTTTTGTACAGCTTTTCCTTATTACCATGTATGCTCTGTTTGCATAAAAGGAAAAGTAGAAAGAAAAAAACGAAGAGAGAAGATTAGAGGAAGAAGTTTCTAAAAATAGAAAAATTATTGTTATTTTAAGAAGTTTTCTTTCATAATTTATTTCCTTTTCTATTTTTCTTCTCAATCCAAGCAAGGGTGAGGGTGGCAAGATAAACGAAAGCATGAAGGCGCGATGTCAAGTGATCTTAATGGCGCAGTCAATG